TTCGGGAACCGGGTTCACTTGTTCTGATAATATAGCGGCATTGGAAAAGCTCTATCGGGGAGAAGTCTACTCCACTGCTGCCTACCTGTACAACAGATACTGTTATTTAAAAATAAAAATAATACCTTTCAAGTAACTATATGGAATGAAACCTACAATTCGTCACCTATGTCCTTGGTTCATGAGTGTTTTGCTACATATTCCAGCTAAGAAATGTGGAAAGCTTTACCAAACTTGTGAAGAGGTTTACCTGGCTGGCTATACTTCTAATCCAATAATATACTAAATCCACATACTAAAAGGGCATACAGTAACCGAAGTAAGAGATGTAAAATTCACCAAAACAAAAGGGTTATCATTTGAATAGTACCAACTAAGAGCAAATAAAACAACAGAATCAGAGGATAAAAACACATCTGAAAATATGCCTCAAAATCCAGAACCTCTCCCATCAACTATAATGATATCTGGCAAGTTTCAATAATTACCCAAATAAGAGAGACTATCCAAAATACTTCAACAACCATCAAAGTCAAGATGATCATCAAGAGTTTGCAAATCAACTGAAAAAGCCCACGCCAATACACAGCAGAGACTCCAAGAGCTAAGCGATAAAAGTGACAAGTTTACAATAGTGGTCCAAGAAACTGTAGAAGAACTTGGAATTAGTGACCTTGATGATAACAAACTACAAGTTATCCAAGATCAACACAAAAGATTAATAGAAGGATAGGAATATCTCAAAAAGAAAACACAAGAAGCAGACGAGTTCGCGGGATTGATGTACTACATACCTGATCCTAATATATACAGACAGGTAATGAGTTCATCAGAAAAAGAAGAATAGAAAAAGGCTATAGATGAGATGATAGAAGTTCTGAAGAAATGTGGAGTTGGGGAACAGGTCAGTTGAGAATCTTAGTAGAAGACCAGTAATATTGGGATAATAGGTCTATAAAGCTAAGGTCAAAAACAACAGAACTATTGAAAGACAGAAAGTGAGATACTGTGCAAGGTGATTCAACCAGATACCAGGGGAAGACTTCAAAGAAGTATACACTCCAGTAGCTCATCTCAAATCACTCCAAATGCTCCTAAGAATATCAGTACAATGTGGATATAAACTTCCTCAACTAGATATAAAAAGTGCATTCCTTCACAGTGATATTGACTGCAAAACCTGCCTGGAACTTCCAGAAGGATATCGAATACCAGAGAAAATATGGAAACTGAAAAAGGACATATACAGTTTGAAACAATCACTTTGCCTATGGTATCAATGCCTGATAAATATCCTCAAATCCCTAAATCTCAAGGTTACCAATTTCGTCCCCTGTATACTCATGTCAAAAGACTTATTCTGCTGTATATATGTTGATGATATTCTAATAACCTGAAAACCTAAGCTAGTGAAAGAATGTGTTTACAAGCTCCAATCCCAGTTCCAGTGTACTGACTCGGGACAAGCCTCACTATTATTCAGTATGCAAATTGAAACAACAACTGATTACAGTAGAATCTACCAGAAACCATAAAAAAATGAGTTATTGGAACATTTTGACATGACCGAAGCTAAACCATATAGAACCTCAATCAAACCACATACTACCCAGATGAAGGTCACTAATAACAATAAATTGTGTAAACAGTAATCATATCAGTCTATGATAGGATCCTTGATGTACACTACTGTTGCAACACTACCGGGTATCTCAAATGCCACTGTCTTCCTAAGTCAGATCTTTTTAAAACAGATAACAACTTAACTTAAAGCTGCCAAAAGAGTACAGCAATATCTAAAAAGAAAGAAAGCTAAAGGTCTACAATACATCTGCGATACGAGGAAAACACCACTTCAGCTATATTGTAACTGGTACAGGTACTTGGTTATTGGTTTTGTTTTAAGTATTGCTTTAAGACTTGGTTTGTTTTAAGTATCGTTTGATACTTGGTTTTGTTTTATGTTTTATTTTAAGTATTGCTTTAATACTTGGTTTGTTTTAAGTATCGTTTGATACTTGGTTTGTTTTTTGTTTTTTTTTAAATATTGCTTTGATACTTGGTTTTGTTTTATGTTTTGTTTTAAGTATCGCTTTAATACTTAGTTTGTTTTATATTTTAAGTATCGCTTGATACTTAATTAGTTTTACCAAAGTGTATCAATTGATACCTTTGATTAGTTTCGTTCATGTTAGACATGAACAGATTTGTATATTTAAAGACAGCCTGATTCCACAATGGAAAAGGCAGACTTTGACAGACAGTATTTCAATATACTTGGTTGAACGGTTACTTCTTTGTTCCTCAGTACACCCTCAAAGCCTCCTTTATTTCTCAGCTCTCACCTCCTCTCTGGAAGAGCAGACCACCTGCCAACTATCGTACCTATTACCGATAATGTGATTAGCACCTTGCGAACACATTATATATATAGAGATACATGTTTTGCCTCAAACTTCGAAGACAGAAAGTCCTTTACCAGATTAATCGGTTAAAATATGGTTATATAGTAATCAG